ACAGGGGCTCCAGGATGGAGTCTGCCTGTGATGCCGGGTCGGGTGTCAGGCTCTCCTTGGCTGCCATCCCTGACCCAGGCACTCACTGGCTCCTTGAGTCAGCTTTCCCAGCTGGTGGAGATGCTGGGTTTGCTGCTGCTTGGGGCATCACTGGTATCACAGCTCCAACCCTGCGACAGACACACAGACCCTACAGTGGTTCTTTCGGTGTCACCCCTGAGGTCACCCATTGTGAGACAAGGGGGGAGCCCACAGCTGGTATCTGAGGTCTGGCATGAAAATGACTCTGCCATCTGTGGTGTGGCTTTCAGTACTTAACTTCCCCAAGCCTCAGTGTTCCATCTATAAAATGGAGAAAGCAATGCTACCTAGGGTGGTGATGGAGATTAGAAGGAGAGGATGTCTGTGAGGTAACTGATACAGATCAAGTTATCCAGAAATGCTGTTCCCTGTGACCGGAGCCAGGGTGCCCCCCTAGGTGATTCTGTTTCTCCTGGGAAATGTGTGATCCCTTCCTCCAGGGCCCAGAGGGGAGGCACTGCCTCCCTAGTGTCTGCATGGTCACCACTGCCAGAGGACTCAGTGTGACAGGGGGAAACCGATTTTGCATAGGCCTAGAAGAAGAGGTAGAATGGGTCAGGACACTTTTTTTTATGTCTCCTCAGAAGGGAGAGATGTATCCAGGTGGAGGGCATGAGAAGGGCTCTGCCCCTCGTATCTCCCCTTACTCTACAGCCAAGGGAGGGAAGGCCACTGAGAGAGTCCAGGTCTGGGGATGAGAGCATAGAGACTTCCAGACCTATGTCGACGGGCTGCTGCCCCTCCAGCCTGCTTGTGGCTAGTAGGACTCTGGGAGGTGCGGCCAGGCCAGCGGCTAGGAGCCCAGGCCTGGGAGGGCAGAGGCGGCTGCAGCAACCTGAGCACTCGATAAGCCATTAATTCTTAATAAACGACAGGCTGTGCATTATTTAACAATAATGATACTTTCTGTTCCATTATAGATTAAAACACCGGCCTCTTCTTATTAATCCTGTATTTCAAAAGCTTGTAAATCCTGTGCAGCCGGAGGAGATAAAAGCCGGCTCATCCCCATCCCGGGGCTGACACGCTTGCACTGACACAGGGTGGCTCAGCGGCCAGGCCCGTGTGCGCACACGCGTGTGCCCGGGGCCCACCCACGCACCCACCACCAGCCACCAGCCGGCGTCACAGCCAGGAGAGAGGAGCTCAGCTGCAGGTGGGGGCCCGGCCTCCACTCTCTGTCTTGCCTTCTCTCTCTGAATCTCCTCTGTCTCCCTTTTTTTGTCTCCCTCTCAGCATTTTTCTCTGACTTTTCTTTTTTGGTTTATCTTGCTTCTCCCTCTCTTTATGTATTGCTCTGTTTTCTCTGTCTCCTCCTCTTCCTTTTTCTTCTCCCTCTTTCCCTCTCCTACTCCCTCTCTCTCTCTCACATACATCACCTGCCTTTCCCTCCTTTACCTTCACACCATTTAGTTGAACGGATCCACAGTATGCAAGGAGTGTATTCCCATATGGTCTTTGGTTTTCTCAGGGGTCCTCTGAGAGGTGGGGGTGGGGAGAGGGGAACGGAACTCAGAGAAGGAAAAGAAGGAGCACAGGAAAAAAAGGATGGGGCAGAAACCCTCAAGACACGTCCGCCCACCCCCGCCCCCTGCCAGACTCCTCCACACAGACTAGGCAGGTTCTGATCCTGAAACCTCTTGACACACCCTGAGAGCTGCACAGGGGACATCCAATGTGGTCCTGAGGGATGTTCATTGCCTCTCTCTATTACCTCCAGGCTCTGTTTACACTCCTCTTAGAGACAGGGAACTCACTTCCTTGGGAGGCAGCCTCTTTTATTGCTGCAAAGCTCCTAATACTCAAGAGGGTCTTCAGGAAGAGCCCATTTCACTCTCAATCCCCCTCTGGCAAGTGACAGGCCTTCAGGAATCTGAAGCCTGCCATTCCAATGCCCAGACACCCCCAATCTCACTGGCTGAACATTCCTCCAGCCCTCATGTACCAGTGGGCTGAGTTCCCTCTTCACCCTGGTTCCCTAGTGTCAGAGACCTATTCTAGGTGTCCCCAGAGGGGCGCCTGGGTGGCTCAGTCAGTTAGGCTTCCGACTTTGGCTCAGGTCATGATCTCAAGGTGCCGGTTCCCAAGTTGGAGCTCCGCATTGGGCTCTCTGCTGTCAGGGCGGAGCCTGCTTCAGATCCTCTGTCTCCCTCTCTCTGCCCCTCCCCCACTCTCTGTGTCTCTCAAAAATAAATTAAGGGGAAAAAAAGGTGGCCCCAAAGCTGGCCACAGCCCTTTTTGTGCTGTAACCAAAATAGAGGTCAGTTTGATTCTCCTCCCTCCTCCCATAACTGAGGGCATGGGAAGAAAACTCACTCTGATCTTGAATGTCTCTCCAAGGTCATTGTAAAAAATAAGATCTGTCATCATTTACTTAATTTTACTACCCACTAGGCATGCCGTATATATCCCTTATCTCATTCAATCCTATGAGGTCCGTTCTAAATTATTCCCATTTTGTAGATTAAGAGACAGACTTGGAGGTATTAAGTTAACTTGGCCATGATCACACAGCTAGGAGGTGATGCCAGAATTTGAGCCAGATACTGAAGTGTTTAAATTCAGCTGGAGACTACAGCCTTGGAGGGTTAACCTGAGATGTTCTCCCCAGCTATTTGGAACTAAAAGTGTCTTCTTCATCCACTGGACCCCCAAAGTCAGAGGGACTGGTGTCCCCGAACCTAAACTCTCTGTCCAGGATTCGACTAACAGTGTCCCACGGTGGACTTCCCAGGTAGAGGCAGAGATCAGGTGGAGGATTCCTGGAGGCTGTTTGTACATGTTGGACATTTCTTCAGGTCAAGGTAGAAGAGATAGTCCCTAACACTTACTGTCAGCTCAGGTGTGCACCAGGCTCTAACATCCCTTTAATCCTCACTACAATGCTGCACAGAGGGTGTTGGCCCCATTTTAAAGAGCGGCAAACTGAGGCTCAGAGCTGGTAAGTCAATAGTATTCATGCTAACCCCTTGCTCAGGAGTCTTGGAGCTTGACTGTGATGCCCCTTCCTTCCTTATTCCCTCCCCTTCCTTCCTTCCTTCCTTCCTTCCTTCCTTCCTTCCTTCCTTCCTCTCTCTATTGCTTTGTTATTTTAAGTGATCTCTACATCCAACTTGGGGCTCGAACTCACAACCCCAACATCAAGAGTCACATGCTGTACTGAATGAACCATCCAGGTGCCCCAGACTGTGATGCTTCTTTACAGCAATGTGTGTGGAGAGCGTAAATGAGAGAGGAACAGGGATCGGCTGTAAGAAATACCGAGTTTGAGAGGGGGAGGTGAGCAGCTTTCTTCCTTTTTTGAAATGCACGAATGGGAAATTTAACTTGATCCCTTGTGGTTTTTGGGCCAACCCCTGAGTGAAGTAGGGTAGTTTTTGCAAAGGAAAATTTTATCCATTTTCTGTTTTTATGGGGCTTCCTCAATGAGCAAAACCTCTCCTGTTGGTGCTTAGAGAGGATTTCTCTGCGTGGCCCACAGTGACGCCATGTAATCTCCCAAAAAATATGGTACTAATATTCGCCGGGTTAGGGTTAGTTATTTTTATGTCTTTGTCATTTTGTTTCTCGGCAGCTCTTTCTGCCGCCTGGAAAGGACGCGGCGGACACTTTATTTCCACAGTCATATTTTTTAATTTGATCAAAGCAAATTTCACCCGTTCTCTGTATAAATTATTTAACTCATTTCTTTTAGGTTAAATGTCTCAATAGGAAGATAGAAAGTCTCTCCATCACATTTTCTTCCAGGATTTTAATCACCTCCTCTAGATTGCATGAACTTCTTTCTCATCCTCCACCCTTCTCTGTCTTCAGTCTCCCTCCCTTCCTTTCTCTCTCTCTCTCCCTCTCTCTCTCTCTCTCTCTCCCTCCCTAACGGCTTCTCTCCATCCTCTGCCCCCAACTCCTCCAGGGTCCCTGGCCCCATCCCAGCTTCCGTTTTCTATGACTCTGGGGTATGAGGGGAGCTTGAACACGCAGGGCCCCACAGCACACAGTGAACCCCTCCTATTGGACAGATTATCAAAAGGCACTTTTCCTCTGGGCGGCCAGGGCCTGCCACGCTCCCACGTGGCCAGCAGAGTGAGGGCCGAGAATCAAGCCCTGTGGCCTCCCCAGCCAGGTCTCTGTGCACAACCTCAGTTGCTACTCCCCCATTCTCCCTCTAGGGATGTAGTCTCTTGCTGAATTTTTTTTTCTTTTTTTTTTTAACATTTATTTATTTTTATTTATTTATTTATTTATTTATTTATTTATTTTCAACGTTTATTTATTTTTGGGACAGAGAGAGACAGAGCATGAACGGGGGAGGGGCAGAGAGAGAGGGAGACACAGAATCGGAAGCAAGCTCCAGGCTCTGAGCCATCAGCCCAGAGCCTGACGCGGGCTCGAACTCACGGACCGCGAGATCGTGACCTGAGCTGAAGTCAGACGCTCAACCAACTGAGCCACCCAGGCGCCCCATCTCTTGCTGAATTTAAATGCAAGAGCCTCTCCCCAAATTCCAGCTTCATTTCCTAATGAAAAACTCCATCCTATTCAATCAACTGCCCCCTGTCACAGGCCGGTTTCCTCAGTGTCTTATTTCACTCAGGTCTGGTTCCTTTAGCCTCAGGGCCCTTCCTGCAGCTCCAAACCCCTTAGGCCTGATGCCTCACTCTGATAATAGTGTAGGGGGTGGGGGGGGGAGGGGTGGCAGGGGGCTGCTGCAGAGGTTTGGGGACTGAGAAGTGGTGCTGCAGAGGAGGGAGGGGCTTGGCTCTGCCAGGGCCCCTGCCTCTCCATGCAGCCCCATCTCTGGCCCCAGGCCCTGTCAAGAGGAGCAGAAACCAGCAGAGCAAGCTCATTACTACCCCCCCCCTTCCCGCCCTGCGCAAACTCTCCCTTCCCTCACATCACATTGTTTCAGCCAAGAACAAATCTCCGGTGGGAATTCCCTTTTCTCTTACTTTCAAAATATACAGTAATTAACAAACTAATGCTACTAACTGCGACAACTAGGAAATCACAATAAAATCACTGCAGAGTCCACAAGCAGTTGGTCTGGTGGTAGGTCTCAGCTCAGTCTGGAAGGGAGGAGCCCAGTCTGGCCCAGGTGTCATCATCTCAGCCACAGTGGAGCCCCTTCAGGCTGGGAATCTGTAGGGGCTCTGAGTCCTCAGCAGGTCAAGCCAGGGCTCCGGCACAGCCGCTGCATTTCCTGTGCAGGAAGAGTCAGGATCCCGGCCATTCTTCCAGGCCCGGAGGTTTGCTCTTTTGTGGAATCCTTAAATAATAGAGTTGTGGCCTGACGCTGACCTGGGCATGTCTGTGAGGACGTGGCCCCTGCTCCAGAACAGGCCCAGTGACTTCCCTTCAAGGTCAGGATAGGTTCTGAAAGGCCTCCAGAGGACAAGGTTTGAAAGAGAACCCCGGGGAGGATCTGCCAGACTACTGTGGCCTCCTTCTCTGGCCCTGCAGAAGCATCTTCGGGGTTGCCCTGTCCATCCTTCTGCATTGCTTCCTGCAGTCAGGCTTAGCCTCTCCACGGGGGAGATTTTGCTCAGGCATAGCCAAAGACCCCAGGAGGGAGTGCCCTTGTTGTTGCCTGACTGGCTGGAAGTCTGTTTACAGTCTGACCTGAGTCCTTCATACTGCAGTACTGTGTCATTTCTTCCAGTGGGTTCTCAGTAAGCGTGGTCCATGAATTCCAGGGGCCCTTCCCAGCAAGGCTCCCTAAGTTGGGCCCTTTTGCTTCCTATCCTGGGTTTCACAATCTCCGTACCCAATCTCTGTTATCCTCTGAATCTCCTTCCTCCATCAGGTAGCCATGGTGACCGGGTAGGGCAACCTGTTCTCACCCTCCCTCCCCATATTTTGTCTTCCCTTGCATACTGACAACATCTGCTTGGGACTTTTAGAAATTCTGTTCAGTAACAGAGGTGGTATTATTAGCTCCATTTTACAGATGAGGAAACCACGGCTCAGAGAGGTTAAGTGACTTGTTTGAGATCACACAGCAGTGGGGATGCAGCATCAGGACTTGAAGAGCACGTTATGTCCTCCCACATGACTCTATCTTCCTTGACTCCTCTTGCTTCTCAGGGGAATGAATAGTCTAGGTGAGAGGACATCAAAGCAACTTTCCTTTCTCTCTGACCAGGCTGAGCTTGGGGAGGTGGACAAAAAAGTTAATAGATAGCTCATTTCATTTCTCCCCTTTCAGTAGCATTATGAATTAGGTGCTATGATCTCACAGATTTCACAGATGGGAAAGCTGAGGCTTGGAGAAGTGGAGGGCTCTGCCTGAGGTCACAGGGCTGGTGATAATAAAGCCAGTACTTAAAGGCCATCCTGTCTGACTCCAGAGCCCATCCCTGCCTTCAGCCACTTGCCTCAACAGTGAAACAGACCAACTTGAAGTCAGCGACAGTGAGTCCAGCCAGGGTGAGTGGTGAGTCGAGAACCTCATTAGGAGTGAAGCTGCCACACATGTCAAAAACCCCAGCTGCCCAGCCGGCCCCACTCGGGCTTCCAGCGCACAGTGTAAACATCCTTACTAATTCACCAAACTCAATCACGTTACTGTGATGGATTTTCCCATCATTACTCCTGAGTGAGTGACAACCTGCTCAGACATTTGCCTTCCCCGCTGCCTGTGGAGGGTTTCAGAAATCAGAATGCTTTGCTCCCTAAGTTGATTTCAACTTGTCCTAAAGTCATTTTAATTGGTGAAGCATCAGAGGCAATTTGGGTAACTTTCTGAGAGCCCCTTTCCACCAGCACCGAGCTGGGGGAAGGGGGGGTCTCAAATGCCACCCTGGCCTGCGGTGGCACTTTCCTCTCCTCTGATTGGTCAGGAGACTGCACTCCACGCTTTATTTTCATGTTTCTTGCTGAGGTTCCTACCGCTGGTTCCTGAGGATAACAAGATTCATTTTCTCAATGGCTCTGACAGATAGGATTGTTATTGTTATTACACTCATATACCACCTTTCCTCCGAGGAGCTTAAGGCGCTTTACAAATTTGAAAATTATCTAATAATCTTCCAGCAACTCTGAGAGAGGGGGAGAAGCTGTAGCTAGAGGCACCGCAGTGCAGCCGGAGAACCCCCACACCCCTCGCTCCGAAGACTGGGTGGGGGACGGGCAGGTGGCTACTGTTGGGCTGGAGGCCTCTGAAGGTCTTGTTCCCCCTTCTGAATAAGGAAGAGGAAGATGTCTGGGTGGGAAGAGGGAGAGAGGAAGGAGGAGAGGGAGGGAGGGAGGGAGACAGGCCCAGCTCCAAAGGACAAAATCCAATGGGAGGGAGCCCAGGCAAGGAGAATTTTCTTTAAAGACACAAGAAATGAGAGGAAGCAGGAGGCTCCCAGGGGCTTGCGGGTAAGAGAGCTGAAATTCAAAATGGAAATCTACTAAAGCAGCAACTAGGCCGGTTGCAAAGGACCCAGCTCAGGCATGAGAACATGGGCAGAAATATCAAGAGGACCCGAATTGCAAATTTAGGTGGCTGCCTTTAGGTGGGTGTGGGAAGCCTCTGTGGACCTTTTTTTTTTTTTTTTTTACCTGCAAGCTGAGAGGTGTAGCATTAGGTCTCTCCCAGCCTGACATCCTATGATTCTGTCTTTCTTTAAATTTCCTCTTGCCAGAGGTGGCCACAGTAATTGCAGCACCTTTACTAAGTGTGAAAGGAAAGCTACTATCAAAATGATGGAGGGCTCAACTGTATTACCATTATTTTCTTGAGAAGAAGGCATGCAGACCCCACCCTGTTTGAGGCTGTCCTTTGGGATTAGGGATTTGTGATGGTTCTGGGCTGTAGCCTTTTGGAGACCAAGTATAGTGCTGCGCTTAAGAGCTGAGCTCTGAGATCAGACAGTGCAGTGACCTTGGGCATATGATATAAGCACTCTGAGCTTAGTTCCTTGTCTGTTCAAGGATAATGGTAGGGCCTGTCTTCTATGGATGCTTGAGGATGACTTGAGAGGATGTATGTAACATGCGTGGGATGCTCAGCCATGAAGATGGTGAAGAAGAGGAGGAGGGGGCGATGATGCTAATGATACGGTATGATGTGGTGATTTATAGTAACACATTTGCTCTTCGTCCATTTCTGGCACAGAGCTCCTAAAACCCTTAGAACTGCTTTTTTTTTTTTTTTTTTTTAAGATTTTTTTAATTTTTAAGTAATCTCTACACCCAACCTGAGACTCAAACTCACAACCCTAAGATCAAGAATCACATGTTCTACTGACTGAGCCAGCCAGGAGCCCCTAACCCTTGGAATGTCCTAAGTGGTGAATGCCACAAAGGTGTTGTTTCTTATGTTAATGAAGTGACTTTTGGGAAGTCTGGTCGGTCACCTAAACTCGGGGGTTGGTTGCCAGGGGAACCAATCCAGTGATAGGAGGATCGGAATTTTCGGTCTTCCCCCACCCCCAACCACCCACAGCTCTGGGGAGCAGGGAGGGACTGAAGAATGATTTCATGTGATAAAGCCTCCGCAAAACACAAAAGGACAGGGTTCAGAGAACTTCCTAGTCGGTGTACACAGTGGAGGTGCTAGAAGAGTGGCCTGGAAGCTTCCCCCTCCCCCTAACCCGCAGCCTTGCCTGGAGCCTCTCCTCCGTCTGTCTGTTTCTGAGTTACTGGTGACCCTCCAACAACACGGTTTTGAACTGTGGGGGTCCACTTCTACGTGTATTTTTTTTTTTTTGATAAATACAGTATAGTACTGTAAATGTATTTTCCTTATGATTTTCTTAACGTTTTCTTTTCTCTAGCTTACTTTATTATAAGAATACAGTATGTAATACTACATAATATATAAAACATGCAATATATGTGTTAATTGTTTATGCTATCAGCAGAGCTTCTGATTAACAGTAAGCTATTAGTTAAGTTTCAGGGGAGTCAGGGGTGCCTGGGTGGCTTAGTTGGTTAAGCATCTGACTTCAGCTCAGGTCTCCATCTCACCATCACATCGCATATCACATCACACATCGGGGCTCTCTGCGTGTCAGCTCGCAGCCTGCTTCAGATCCTCTGTGGGGGGGGGGGGGGGGGGGGGGGGGGGGGGG